GAAGCCCTGGGCTGGGAGAGCACCACGGATGGGTGAGAATGTGGGATCACCAGGATAAGGCAGGGAGGAACCATGTTCTGCCTGGGAGCCAAGGGAATAGCTGGCAGTCAGGGCAAGGGCAAAGTGATGGAGGGGAGGAGAATACAGTGGGTGAGCAGAGGTTGGGGTGCCAGGGGAGCCCCAGAAATCAGGTGAGGAGCGCGGCAGGACTAGCAGGGGTGAGAGGGGTGACTGCACAGAGCTCTGGCTCCACTCCAGCCCTTTTCAATGCAGCTTGAGGCTCTGGAGAGTAGCTGGCTGTGGGCAGAACAGGGCCTGCCCCTGCTCCCAGGCTGCCATTCCAGATTCCAGGTCCTTTAGTGTCTGTCCCCCAGCCCTGATCTTCCCAGGTCAGGCCTCAGTAGCCACCGGGGGGGGGGGCTCCTAATTATAACAGCAGACAAAGAGCTGGGCTCTGACTGCAGTGCTGCATCTGACAGCCTGTGCCTGGGGATGCTGGAAGTGCTGCTGGCAGTCCTGGCCGTGGCCAGGCTGTGTGGGAGCTTGAGGCCCCCCAGGAGTTGGAGGCTGGAATGGCGAGCAATGCCCGGCCTCAGGCATCATTCCCAGGCTCCTGGCTGCTGCAGCTGAGAAGCCCCCATGGAGGCTCCAGATGGCCTTGGCTTGGGCAGGACAAGAGTGGCCAAGAAAGGTCCAGTTGGGAGCAGAGGTGGAGAAGGAGCATGGAGTTGGCTGAGGTAGGAGGGACATGGGGGCTGAATCAGCCCCACATCTCTCACAGGCACCGAGTGGGCAGAAGTGGGTCCCAGCATGTCCCAGTGTGTGCCCCAGGGGCATTCCTGTGCTTCTCCCCCTGTCTCTGCCATGGGAGCTTGGGGTTTGCCAGAGCTCTGCCGTGTGCAGAGTGGAAGGTGCCACCTCTGCAGCAGCTGTGCTCAAATGAAGCTGGCCAGGGCACACGTACACACAGCTGCCTGCCAGGAGGACATCTGCCTCTGCTCACCCTTCAGCTTGGCCTCAGTCCTGCCCTTTGAGGCCCTTCACATTCTCCCCGAGAAGTTTTTGGTGCACTGACTGTGCTGGAACTCAACCAGGTGTCCCCCAGCTCTGGGATGCTGCTGGTTTGGGTCTGGGTACCTCATCCCCTGGTGCAGGAGTGCAGCACGGTGCCTGCTTCCCATCTGGTGCCATTGGCATCCCACCCTGACATGACACTGTGGGAGCTGCAGGGTGGCAGCTGGGACAAAGTCATCGGGGGACACGAGGATTTCCCCCTTTCCTCTCCAGGCAGCTGGGTACAGGCAGGGACCCACCATCTCTTGGAGACCCTGACAGAATGTGACAACACAGCCCGAGTGAGTGGGTTCCCGCTCTGGAGGGTGACAAGGCTGGCAGCAGCTCCCCCAGGATGTTCACAGCCGCAGGTATTGGTGTCCCAGCGCTGTCACCGAACTGCTGTGAGGAGCGGCGGGTAACACCACAGGCACCCCGAGCCACAGAGGGCCCCAGCCACCCACGTCCCCAGGAAGGGCCCCCTGAGGTGTGAGGGTCCCGACTACAGCATCTCGGCAGAATCTCCGGCTCAGGTTGTGCCGTGTTGGATACGGCATCTCCATGGAAACCCTCGGCTCGGGCGGTGCGGGCTTGGGAGATGCCATCTCCACGGAAACCGCTGCGGCGCCCGGATGCGGCCGGGATGCGCCGGGCACTGGGTACCGCGGCGGCACGAACGGGGTGTTAGCGCGCTCCTGGTGCGGGGCGATGGAGGCTGAGGGACTCGGGGAGCAGGGACCGCCCCTGTCCCCGGCACGGGACATGTTGGGGAGAGCATTTCTGAGCCTAACGTTGCAATCCCAGACTCGCCACCCCTGTCCTGTTTGTCCCGCAATGTGCCAGGCTGATCCTCTCGCCTCCGTCCGGTCCGGGGCGGTGCTCAGCCCTTCTCGCAGCCCGGGGAGTGGAGCTCGGGCCCGTTCTGGGGAGGACCGTTTCCAACCCATGGGGGCTGGAGGTGTTCAGGGACACGGAAATTCCCTGATCCCAGTGGGCAAAGGTACAGGACCCCAGGGATCCACCCCAGGGATCCAGGGGTGCTCCATGACGGCCCCAGTGCTCGCATTCACATCCTGAGCCTGGGAAGCCAGAGGGACAAGATTTCAGCTGCAGAAACAGCCCAGACGAAATATTTTACAGGTTATTTATAGCCTGCATTTAAAAAAGATAACAAAAAAGAAACAACAACAGGAAAAAAAAAAAAAAAGGAAAGAAAAAAAGAGAGAAAAAACCCACAAAAAACCCAAAAAAACAAACAAACAAAAAATCCAAAAAACCCCAACACCCACCAAAAAAAAACCAAAACCCCCAAACCCCAACCTCCCCAAAAAACAGCGACGGAAAGCCTTTTGTTTGTTGATTTTACATCTGCCTTGTACTCCATCCCGCTCCCACTGGCCTCCCGGGACGCCGGGTGCAGGAGCCCGGCTGCGCCGGCAGCTCCCCGGCGCTGGAGCGGCCCTTGCTCTCGGGTCGGTCCCTGTCCCGGGGGACCTCGCGGTGGCCGTGCCCGTCCCCAGCGCCGCCGGCCCTGCCCCGCTGCCCACCGCCGTGTGCCAGGCAGGCCGGGCGGCCCCGGGCCCGGATTAGCGCCCGCTCCCCGCTGGCACCGGGAGCAGCTCGGCCGCCCTTGCCGCGGCTCCCTGCTCCGTAAGCCGGGCTTTGACGTAGCGCGGAAAGTAGGCCAGTAAGAGCAACCGCAGCCGCCCGCGGCTCTCGGGGGACGCGGCGCTCCGGCTGCCGAGGGAGGGCTGCACGCTCGCACCGCGGCACCTTGGCTCCCGTGGCCCACGCTGTGGCCAGAGACAACAGGGCTTTGTCCAGGTTCTCCTCGACTCGCACCCGGCCCTGCTGTCACGGGGAGAACAACGACCAGGCTGGGGAAGTCCCTGCAGGGAGCCACCCCAGCCCTTAGCCGTGCCAGGTTCCCCGGCCCGTTTCTGTCCCCTTGGAAAGGGCTCTCACCCCCTTCCCCTCTGACCTGGGAGCCCGCAAGTGGTCATCCCTGGCATCCCCTTCCTGCGGCAGACCTGGAACGGGTTATTTATTGAAAAACCCCAAGCTCCTGTGCCCAGTAAATCCATTTCTGCAGAGAAGTCAGAGGGCCAAGTGTTGCCTCGATGAGGAGCCTGTGCTGTAGCAGGAGCCTGGAGGGGCAGAGATGTCAGTACCAGTGGTCACCCCACACCAGGCTCCCTCCTACGCATCCCAGCAGCTCATGCTAATGTTGTCCCTGTTTATATTTGAAGCATCTCTGGGTACTGGAAGCCTCAGTTCAAGCCAGTCCAGTCCAGTGCTGCTGTTCCTCACAGGAAGAGGCAGATCCAGATGTGTGGCTACAGCTGTTCCCTCTCAGGCTGAGCATCACCCCCACTCAGGCTGCCAGACCCACCAGCTCTGTGTGAGGCAGGGATCCATACAGGGATCTGCACCTCGGCAGGTCTTGTCGCTGCTCCAGGTGATCCAACTTGTGACAGCTGCAGATCTGCTTGCTCCAGGTCTGAGTTGCTGTTACACCTGCCGGCCTCGGTCCTCTGCAGGATCTGCACCTGAGCGCTGCCCATCATCTTCCCGGCCCTGGAGGGAGCATCGCATCGGAGCTGGGGAGGTCCCAGTTCAGGCTGGGGCAGGGCCGGAGTTCGCGGGGCAGTGCTTCCTTCTTCAGGGATACAGGTGACACCACGGGCGGCAGCAGCATCCTCTGCCGTGGGGTGGGCCAAATTCGGGGGCTGAAAGGGCCTGGGGGGTTCCCCCTCCCTGCAGAGAGGCAAACAGCAGGACTGCACCGGGCAGGTCCTGCTGAGCCCGAACCAGCTCTGCTGCACCAGGCCCGCCGGACCGCCCCCAGCCCGGGTACCCCGAGCACCCGGGGCTGGAGCTGAGGAGGTGGGCTGGGGGCTGGGACAGCCCACCGTGCCTGGCCAAACACTGTCCAGGCTGGGGAGGAGGAAGGCAGAGCCATTGGCCAGGCCAGGCGAGGGAGGGTCCCTGCAAGAGGGACAGGGACGGCAGAGATCTCCTGGCCTCAGTTGCCGGGGGCGGCTCTGGGGGACCGCAGGCAGGTGGAGGGGCTGGCAGGGGACGCTGCCTCTCCCTCTTCAGGGCGCTTCACCTTTTACTAAAACCAACACGACCCCCCTTGCCCCTCACGACATCTCCGGGGTGAAGATTTCCCATGGCAAAGGGACGCAGGCTCTGTTGGGGCCACCAGCCTCGCGAGGGGCTCTCGGCGTCACGGCACGGAAATGCTCTCCGCTTCCTTTCCTTTTTTTTTTTTTTTTTTTTTTCCCCAAGCAACACAGCCGTGGCCCCATCACGGGCCGGCGCCCTCTGACTGCCCGGCCCCGGGTGCTGCAGGGGCCAGAGGCTCTCGGGTCGGGTCCCCGGCAGAGCTGCCACACCTGCCCCACGTCAGCTCCCAGTCCCCTCCCAGCCTAGGAAGGCCCCGCGGCAGGCAGGGACACCCGCAGCCTGCACGGAGGGTGCCTGCGCCCCGACCCCACGGAACGACCCCCATTTCCTGCTCTGCCCCAGCCGCGCAGGAGAAGGGCGGCCCTGGGGACGGGCCGTGCCCGGGGCGGGCTGCAGTGCCAAGGTGGGAGGAGGCGTCCTTGACACGAGGGACATGTTTCCTGGGATCAGCAGCAGCTCCGGCTCCTGCGCTGGTGCCGGGAAGTCTTTCTCCAACTAGCGCTGAGCATAGGCCACGTTGTAAGTGAGGGGAGAGGCCTGGAGGGATCCCTGCCCAGTCTGTAAGGCTCTGGCACATCCCTCCACTTGTGCTGAATGCACCAACCAGCCCCTGAGAGGCACCTCACTGTCACACTCCGAGGACTGGCTGGGCACAGAGCATGGGCCTGGAGGTGGGCAGCAGGAGTGGGGGCTGCTTGTGGACAGAGCCAGCTCCCAGCACATTCAGAGCAGCAGAAGCACCTGACACAGCCATATCCAGGTGATTGGGTTTATTAGGGCTGAGTGCAGGTGGATGTGAGAAACACCCCCGAGGCCAGGCTCAGCCTGACAAGGTGGGGAGAAAGCCCCTTTGGAGAAGATTTAAAGATCTATATAGGTACAAAAATGGGGATGTAAAAGACAAAAGGAGAGGATGTTGGCAGCTATTCCAGTCCCTCACCACGCTCCTAGACCTGCTCCACTATGAGATCCTGACCAAGTTCACTTTCAACTCAGCCAAAGCACCTGACCCTGCATGGACCCCAGGGACAGGATGGAGGGCCCAGCCTAGCCCTGGACACTGCCAAGGCAGCCATGCAGACAGCACAGGAAGGGCAGCCCTGGGTTTTATTGCAGAGAAAGAGGTAGAAGGAACTGGACAGAACCAGGAGCTGCTGCTCCTCGTTCCTTTGCTCACTCCAGTTTGAGCCCCCTGGCTGCAGACACAGAGCTACCGTGCTCTGCAGTGTCAGGGCTGTGCCTTCTTCCCGGGCACAGCCTTCCCCCTGGACACAGCCTTCTTCCCAGACACAGCCTTCCCCCTGGACACAGCCTTCTGCCCGGGCACAGCCTTCCCCATGGACACAGCCTTCTTCCCGGGCACAGCCTTCCCCCTGGAAGCCTTCTTCCCGGGCACAGCATTCCTCCGGGGCATGGCCTCTCCCCCAAGCCTGGCCCCGCTGCCAGGGGCCGTGTCAGGGACATCCTCGGCCGAGATGGGCTGGATGATGTGGCCAATGCGGGTGATGACTCGAGGGGCTGTCAGCTTCTGGAAGGCACGCTGAGTGTTCCACGTGGGGCCCACGGGCGTCCGCATGCTCTGCTCGAACTGCTGGTGCCGCTCAAAGGGGAAGGGCAGCTCGCTGACCTGTGGGGACACCACAGGGGTAATGGCCCCCAGCCACCCAGCCCATGCTGCTCCCAATGCTCACTGCTTCCCACTTGTCCAGGACCCGCTCACACTCTGCTTCCCTTTCCGCTGCCAGCAGAGCCCAAGAGGGCTGGAACAACCATCACCACCAAGGGAGCAGCCCTGTACATCCCTCCTCCTTCTGAGCTGTTTAAGCTGGAAGCTAAACATTGGGCAGGGATTACAGGCAGGGATTGCGGACGTTTTGGGAATGGATCACAGGAATGCCCCAGGCTTGCCCAGCTGCTCTATGGAGACCAGGCGTGCCCCACCTGATGTGCAGCTGCGTGGATGTTACGCTTCTCGCTCATGATGACGTGGGGCAGGTGCTGGTCCTTCCGTGGAGGCGCCGGCGGCGGCTTGATCAGGAACCTGTGGGCAAGTGAGGGGTCAGGGCTGGCGTGGGGCTGGGCACAACCCGGAGCTCTCCCCCACTCACCTCTTCACCTTCCTGGTGCTGGGTTTCAGGCCTGTGCCGCCCCACTCGCCCCAGCCTGGCAGCACCAGGTTCACTGGCTGGGGCTTCACCGCCTCCTCTGCCTTGCGCTTCTCCCGGCGGAAGTCAGCGACCACGTCATCCCCAGCAAAGGCCTCCGTGATCACCCCGCGCTGCTCGATGCCGCCCTCCTGCACGAGGACAAGACAGAGCGGGTTTAATGGTTATTGGGGGAACTGGGAGAGACTGGGACAAACTGGGAGGCACTGGGGGAGGGTTTGTGGGTACTGGGGAGAGTGGGAAGGGGTAAAAGTTACTAGGCATTACTGGAAGGGGTTTGGGGTTACTGTAAGGGGGTTTAGGAGTACTGGGAGTTACTAGCTTGGGGCTTCTAATTACTGGGAGGAGGTTTAGAGTTACTGGTTTGGGGTTACTGGGAGTTATTGAGAGGAGGTTTGGAGTTACTGGAAGGGAGTTTAGGGTTACCAGGAGAGGATTTGGGGTTACTGGGACTTAAACGTTTGGGCATTACTGGTTGGGTGTTTTGGGTACTGGGAAGCATGGGGGAGCCACGTCCTGCTCACCTCCTCCTCCAGGACCACAGGCAGGCTGGGGCAGTCCATCTCCTGGGGCTTCCCATCCAGCACAGCCTCCAAGTTGATTATCTTCCTCTTGGCTGGTGCTTTCTTGGTATGTCTATCCCCAGCTTTCCCTTTCTCCTGCTGCTGTGCTCGCTTCCCTGCACTCAGGGCTACCAGCTTCTCCTGCTCTTCCACAAGCTCCTCCTTGGCCAGACTCTCCACATCCTCCATGGTCTGCACACGGTGCAGCTGCTCCGAGAGCAGGAGCTGTTCCTGGGCCTGAGGGGGAGGCTCCAGCCCTGCACTCACCAGCTCCTCAGCACAGCCTGGGGGGACTGGGCTGTCCCTGGGCTGCTCAGCACCAGTCTCAGTCTCATCAGCACCTACATGTTGAGGGTAGAAATGGTCACTCCACAGGGCATAGAGTAAGGACAGCTGTGTGAAATCAGCCAAAAACTGTCCCCAGATCCCCCCTCCTTTGTCAAGCCCCCAGCACTCCCAGCCCAGCCAGCCCTGGGCCTCAAGCTTCTCACCATGGTCTTTGCCATGCCCCTCGGGGCTCCCTGTCCGCTCCCGTCGCTTCTGCTCAAAGTCTTGCAGCAGAGCTTCTTCCTCTGACAGCTCCTCTTCCTCCTCCTCCATCTCGTCCTTGTTCTCCACAGCACCAGGCACTGTGTCCTCTCTTGGACCCTCCTGTGCCTCAGGCTCCGGGGCCAGGCCACTGGGCTTGCCCAGCATCCAGGGATTAGCCCCGCTGGGCGTGGGCACGGCCGTGGTGTCCTCCTCGGGCACCTCACACAGCTCCTCCGGGGGCGGCTCCACCCGCACCTTCTGCATCAGCTCCTTGTTCCTGGCCAGCTGCTCCTGCATGGCCTTGCGGGCCTGGGAGGCACCGAGAGGCTCTAACACAGGGCAGAGACAACATTCCCAACCTTCCTGCCCACCCCAGCCTACCCCCCTTCCCCAAGCAATGCTGAAGACCTTGTCACGGCATTCCAGTATACAAATGGGATTATAAGAGATAGAGAGACTTTATAACGTGGCTTGGAGGGACAGGACAAGGGGGAATGGCTGCACACTGACAGAAGGCAGGGATAGCCAGGATATTGGGAAGGAATTGTTTCCTGTGAGGGTGGGGAAGCCCAGGCAGAGACTGCCCAGAGAAGCTGCAGCTGCCCCATCCCCAGAAATGTTCAAGGCCAGGCTGGCCAGGGCTTGAGCAACTTGGTCTAATGGAAAGTGTCCCTGCCCATGGCAGAGGGGTGGAAGTGGATGGGCTTTAAGGTCCCTTCTCACCAAACCCTTCTGTGGCTCCATCTCACCTCGAGGTCATACTTAGCCATAATGGCCCTGGATCGGGCCCATTTCCCCTTGTTCTGGTGCTTAAGGCTCATCCGCTCCTGGGGGAAGAGAAGCATCACACAGAGCTCCCCAAGGAGCAGGGCTCTCCCAAGGGGTGAGGCAGAGATGCCAAGGCAGCACCTGCATCCTGAGCTGCTCCAGCTCCTCCAGCCGTGCCAAGGCGGCCGCAGGGTCAGATTTGTGCAGCTGCTCAAACTCCTTCAGGGCCTGGCGCCGCCGGCTCTTCTTGAGCACGCGGTGGTACCTGCAGCACAGGGGCGGCTCAGGGGCTGGGCAGGATAAGGGCAAGGCAGGGCCACCCTGCCCTCCCAGCACAGGCACAGCCCGGCACAGGCACAGCCTCACTTCTTGCTCTTGATCCGCTTCGCTCGCCGAGCCTTGGCCTCATAGTAGGACTGCACTGCCCGGGCCTTCTGCAGCTCTGCCCGCCGGCGCCGCGCCTGCCGGGGAGCAGGGGGTGAGGGACGGGGAGCACAGGGAGCAGGGGGTAAGGGACGGGGAGCAGCGAGTGAGGGACAGGGAGCAGGGGGTGAGGGACGGGGAGCAGCGAGTGAGGGACAGGGAGCAGGGGGTGAGGGACGGGGAGCAGCGAGTGAGGGACAGGGAGCAGGGGGTGAGGGACGGGGAGCAGCGAGTGAGGGACAGGGAGCAGGGGGTGAGGGACGGGGAGCAGCGAGTGAGGGACAGGGAGCAGGGGGTGAGGGACGGGGAGCAGCGAGTGAGGGACAGGGAGCAGGGGGTGAGGGACGGGGAGCAGCGAGTGAGGGACAGGGAGCAGGGGGTGAGGGACGGGGAGCAGCGAGTGAGGGACAGGGAGCAGGGGGTGAGGGACGGGGAGCAGCGAGTGAGGGACAGGGAGCAGGGGGTGAGGGACGGGGAGCAGCGAGTGAGGGACAGGGAGCAGGGGGTGAGGGACGGGGAGCAGCGAGTGAGGGACAGGGAGCAGGGGGTGAGGGACGGGGAGCAGCGAGTGAGGGACAGGGAGCAGGGGGTGAGGGACGGGGAGCAGCGAGTGAGGGACAGGGAGCAGGGGGTGAGGGACGGGGAGCAGCGAGTGAGGGACAGGGAGCAGGGGGTGAGGGACGGGGAGCAGCGAGTGAGGGACAGGGAGCAGGGGGTGAGGGACGGGGAGCAGCGAGTGAGGGACAGGGAGCAGGGGGTGAGGGACGGGGAGCAGCGAGTGAGGGACAGGGAGCAGGGGGTGAGGGACGGGGAGCAGCGAGTGAGGGACAGGGAGCAGGGGGTGAGGGACGGGGAGCAGCGAGTGAGGGACAGGGAGCAGGGGGTGAGGGACGGGGAGCAGCGAGTGAGGGACAGGGAGCAGGGGGTGAGGGACGGGGAGCAGCGAGTGAGGGACAGGGAGCAGGGGGTGAGGGACGGGGAGCAGCGAGTGAGGGACAGGGAGCAGGGGGTGAGGGACGGGGAGCAGGGAGTGAGGGACGGGGAGCAGGGAGTGAGGGATGGGGAGCAGGGAGTGAGGGACAGGGAGCACGGCGTGAGGGACGGGGAGAATGGGGAGCAGCGCGTGAGGGACGGGGAGCAGGGCGTGAGGGACGGGGAGTACAGGGTGAGGGATGGGGATCACGGCGTGAGGCCCCCAGAGCCAGGGCCCAGCCGGGCGAGGCCTCACCTCCTCCAAGCTCATGGCCTGCACTGAGGCCATCTCCTCTGGTGTCAGCAGCGGGTCTGTGACGGGCTGCTGTGTCTTGTGGAGCAATCCAAAGATCTCCTGCTCCAGTGGAGTTCGGGCCTGTTGGGACAGTAGATATGGCAAAAGGATGGCAAGAGGAGAACTGCAAGGGCCAGTGCTCCTCTGGATGTCCCCATCCATTCTCAGTGCCCCCAAGTTGGTCTGCGGAAGGCCCAGAGAAGCATCCCCTCCTTGGGGGACTGGGTGGTCATAGCCCCTCTCATGGGTCCCACTCCACAGCCTTTGGGCACTCTCCCAGCCACATGGCCAGGTGAGGGCAGGTAGAATTCCTCCCACATTAGAAAAATGGCATCCCAGCTGCCAGGCAGTGCTGACCAGGGGGCACCACACAAGAACATGGAGCAGGAGTTCCAGGCCACACAATGCCATGTTCCTCCAAAACAGAAAGGGACTTTTGGGCAGATCAGTGTGAGTGACAGGTTTGTTGGGAGTTCAGCAGGGGCTGCCCCTCCCTCACCTGGACATCTGACAACTCCCAGGGACAGCAGTGGATTCCTGCCAGCAGCACAACCCCACAGGAACTTTCAGGCAAAACCAAACACATCTCTCTTTTGTAAGGAATATTTCCAGGCATCCAGGATTTGGCAAACCAATCCCCTCTGCCTCAGCACTTGTGGCCAAGGGACAGTCCCATGTGCCTGGCCCTGAGAGGCTACAAGGAGGAGAGGGGACAGAGCAGGCTCCAAACCCTCTGCTCACAGCTTACCTGGCTTGTCCCAGATGGAATTTACACACCTACTCTGTGGACGAACACAGACTGCCCCTCTGACCTTCCCCAGCTCAGCAGGCACCTGCCCACTGTCAGTGCCAGGCTGAGCCTGCCATCACTGCCCCCAGCACAGCCAGGAGGCATCGCCCTGCCCAGCTGATCCTGGAGCCAGCCCAGCCGTGTGACCCCCAGTGGCACCTTCCACGCCGAGGTGACTCTCTCCAGAGGGGCCACGGTGGCGATGTCCTGCCGTAGGGGGAACACCAGCTGCTCGGCGCGCCGGTTCTGCAGCACCACCTGCTGCCACTTCCCCACATCCTTCGACGTGGTCACGTAGGCAGCCTCCCTCACCACCTGCCGGGGAACAGGACAGGCAGAGAAAGGTGATGCCAGCATCAGGGAGGAGCACGGGGGTCCTGGGGCTCAGCTCAGACCCCCTGGCTCCCTGCACTCACCCTCTTGGCCTCCTCTTTGCTCAGTGGCAGCTCCACCGCCGCCTTCCGCTTCACTCTGGCCAGCTCCTTCCTCACGCTGCCCAGCGTGGATTTGGGGTGAATGGGCTGCAGCAGCTCCGACAGAACCAGCTTTTCCCCAGCACCTACGCACAGGTGTGCCGCTGCCAGGTGAGGGAGCTGTCCCAGCCCCACAGTGGCTCTCGGGGGGCAGCGCCATCCCAGGTCCCCGAGCCCTGCCCAGCTCCCTGCCTCACCTTTGCAGGTGACATTGAACTCAGACACCTGCCCGCTGGCCTCCGAGCGCTCCGCCAGCTTCCGCCTGCGAGAGAGAGACAGAAAACAACCCCAAAGGCTCCTCGTACCCCCGGGTGCTCTGGAGAATTTGGGGCCGGTGCCGAGGGCAGGGGCCGAGAACCGTCTCCCCTGGCCCCCTTCCTGCGCAGCCTCTCGCGAGGCGGCTGCAGCAGGAGCCCCGGGGCAGACGCGGCAGCCGCAGCCCCACTCACCGCTTCCGTCCGGACAAGGCGCTGATGGCCTCCAGGAGCTGCCGGTGCCGCCGCTCGCCATCCTCCTGCCGCACGGCACACGTGGTCACAGACCCAACCCGGCCCCAGCGCCCTCTCCCAGGTGCTGCCCGGTGCCCCCACGGCGCCGCCCGGCCGGGTCCCGGGCCCCACATCCGCGACCCGACATTCCCGGCCGGGCCACGCCGTCCTCCGCTGCGCCCATCCCGACCGGGAGAGCGCCCGGAGCCCCGCGAATAGCGGTGGAGGCCGCTCGGAGAGCCCGTCGCGCTCTTCCCGGCCCCGCTCACCCCCTCCTCGCTCTCGCTGCCGCTCCCTGCCGCCGCCGCCTCCTCCTCCGCCATGGCCCCGCACGCCGGTACTGCCGCAAAGCGCCACCGAGCGTCGCGCCGAGCCCTCGCGCCCTGCCGCAAAGCGCGCCCTCGTGACGTCCCGGTTGCCATGGCAGCAGGAGCGGCGGGCGGGGTGGGAGAACCGGGGGGGACCGAGGGGCCCGGGGGGACCGGGGCGCGGACAGCGCCGTCCCGGCCTCGCACGGCGGCACCGGGGACGCCTCCCGGGACGCCCCGGTTCGCCAGGCAGCGGGAGCCGGCGGTGCCACCGCGGGCCAGAGCACCTGGGAGGGTTGTCGGTCCGCCCGTGACCGTCGTCGGTCCGTCCGGCCCCCGGGACTGCAGGATTCGCTCTTTCCCCGCGGGACGCGCCAATGCCGCACCCACGGTTCCTCCCGCCCGGCCGGACCCGGTTCCTGGGAGCATTTTTGGGGTTGATGGGATCCCAGGGATCGTTGGAGCAAACACACGGAGTTCTCAGCCAGGAAGCGGTGTCAGTGTCTGTCACTGCGCCCGCGGCATCCTCCTCCTCCTCCTCCTCCTCTCCTCCTCTCTCCCGTCCCGCGCTGGGCGCACAGGGCGCTCGGGGCAGCAGGAACAGGGACAAGGAGCTGCTCCCCCTCTGCTCCTGTCCCCACGGCAACAGCCGCGGGACAAGTTGTGTGTTTTGCCCTCGGGTTTACGCTCCGGGCCCGCCTTTGCCGGGGTGCCAGGAGCGGGACGGCCCCAGGTGGGACTCCAGGGATCGGTGGGATCCCGGTGGGCTCTCCGAACTTGGCCAACCCCGCGGTCTGGGGGTGCGAACCCGTGTGAAAACTGTGCGAAATGTGGGAGTGAGCGGATGGGGCGGGAGGGGAGGGGCGGGGAAGCGCCGGCGGGAGCGTCCTGTGCGCTCCCCGCGGCGTGGGGCTCGGCAGCCCGGTCCTTGCGGGCAGCCGTGAGAGAAAACCAAAAAGAGCAACGAGGGGCAGCGCAGGTCGTGCCCCGCCGGGGGCTGCACCGGCAGGTCTGGCGGGAGCCGCCGGGGGCCGGGCCGGGCAGGGCCGAGCCGAGCCGAGCAGGGCCGAGCCGGGCCGGAGCCGTCCCCAGCCCAACCGGAGCGCCCCCGGCCCCGCCCTCCCTTGTGCGCACCCGGGCGGGGCCAACCACGCGGAGTGACAGCACGTTCTGCCAATGGGCCGGCGAGAAACAGCGGGGAGGGAGGAGTCGCCGCGAAGTGACAGCAGTGGTGGCCAATGGAGTGGCGCGAAGCGGCGCGATGGGAGGAGCTGCCGCGGACTGACAGTGCGCGAACCCAATGGGAAGGCGTAGCGCGGCGGGGCGGGGCGGATAGCGCGGCGGGACCAATGGGCGCGGCGGCCCCGCCCCGTGCGGGCGCGGGGCGTGGCGGCCTCTCCCGGCGCGGTGGGAGCGACCGGCGCGGCCCGAGCGGCACCGGCACCGGGTGAGCGGTGGCGCGGGGCCCCTCCCGTCCCCTTCCCTCCCTTCCCGTCCGCTCCCGTCCCCTCTCCAGCCCTTCCCTTCTGCTGTCTCCCCGTCGGCTCCCGGCAAGCCCGCAGAGCCGGGGCTGCCCTGCCCCGGTGGCCCGGCCCTGCCGCGTCCCCTCCCGGTGCGGAGCCGCCCGGCCGAGGGTGTTCCTGCCCGCGCCCCGCGCCCCCTCCCTGGTGGATTCCCACGGCAACGCCCCTCCCGGGCGCGGGGTTTCCATGGCGACGGCGGCCGCCGCCCCCCGTGCCGGTGCCGCCGCCGCCCTGGCGCTGACAGAGCGCTCTCCCCGTTCCCTCTCCCGCAGCCGCCGGCCCAGCCCAGCCCAGCCCGGCCCCGCGGGGCCCCGATGATGCTGGGCGCGCGGGCGGCGGAGGAGCAGCAGCAGCGCCCGAACGCGCGGCGGCCGCTGCCGCCCCAGTGACGGCCCCGCCATGTCGGTGATGGTGGCGAGGAAGAAGGTGGTTCGGAAATGGGAGAAGCTGCCGGGCAGGAACACCTTCTGCTGCGACGGCCGTATCATGATGGCCCGGCAGAAGGGCATCTTCTACCTGACTCTCTTCCTCATCCTCGGCACCTGCGCCCTCTTCTTCGCCTTCGAGTGAGTTCCCCTGGGACCCCACGGGGGTGGCGTGGGGATGGGCATGGGCCCGTGTGCCCGGGGCCTCCGGGAGAGGGAGGGGAGCCCGGCACGGCGCAGCCTGGCCGAGTGTGGTGGCTCTGTGGCTCTCCCTGTCCAGATGTGCTTCCTCGCCCTCAGCAGACTGACCCTGGAGGTTTTGAGGGGAATGGGCCCTGCCGGAGCCCTGCCGGGGGGTGACACTGGCCCTGCTTCCCCGTGGGTCACCTTCTGTCTGCGACTTGGCACTCTCTTGTCCCGAGTGTTCCTGGCTCCAGGACAGCCGGAGTGCCGGGGTACTGCTGCTGCAGCCCTGGGCACAGCCTGTGTCCCTACCCACAGGGGACATGCAGCCCCCACATCAGCCCCACCAGGAGGATTAATAAGGAGTGAGCTCGGGGCTCCTGCCAGTCTGACCTGCCCCCAGCCCCAGGCTGCGCTGCAGCCAAATACCAGCCATGCTGGTATTTGGGAAGGATCTGACCACCCTTTACATCACCTCAGCAGCCTAAAGACCTTCAGCCAAAACCTTTGATCCTGATGAAAAAGAGGGGTCTGTCCTCTCCCCTCAGCTCTCCCTGGGAGCTGGGCTGGGGAGTGGGGTGGCCTTAGACTAATTTTAAAATCAAAAAAGTCAAGCAAAAAGGGAAAAGCTTATGTTTGTCTGGGCTGATGCTGTGGGAGGGGGCAGGACACCCCAGTTGGCTGGCTAGAGGATGAACTTGGATCAGCTATACAACTGAAAAACTTCCCTTCCTCGGTCTCCATGGGCATGTTTGTGTTCTGGGGCAGCAGACAGGCTGAAACAGGGTCGGATAATACAAAAGGTTGCAGAGCCAAGAAGAATGAGTGGAAGGACCTGCTCGCTGGCTAAGCCCTAGCTATTCCTGCAGTTCCAAAAAGCCCTCGGCCCAGATGCTGTCCTTTTCAGCATCATTCCTAAGCCAGGGAACTTGTTTCTGCATTCCCTAGCCCAGCATGTCTCTCCCTAGTTCCCTGCCCAAATTATCCCTGGCTCAGTCTGAATTCTGAGGTACCAAGTGACACTACTCTTGGTTTGATGTTTGGGGTTTTTTCCATCTGAAAAACGGGGCTGAGCCTTCCTGCCTTACAGGAAGAACTAATAAGTGTTGCTGCTCCAGAAACACTCATTGCTGCACCAGAAACACTGATTTGAGGTTTAATTGCTCTGGTTCCCTGTGGATCCTGTCCGTAGCAGGAGAGTGAACCACATCCCGCTCTGCCGTGGTTGCGCTAAGGCAGAGTGAGCCAGGGCTGTTTTCCAGACCTAGGCTGTGGTTAGTCAGGAATGTGACTGGAAATTCCTTGAGAAGCCCCTTTCCATGCTCTGGCAGGCAGAGGCCTGTGGAGGAGTCGCTTGCACCAAGACATTGAGGCCATGCCTAGACCTGGAGGGTGGACTCTGCAGGGAGAATGCTGCTGGGAACAGGATCACCTCTGAATTTTAGTTAAATCATCTGAGGGAGATAAGGAAAAGTTTGGGAAAATCCAAATATACATTTGATTCTTTCAGTGCAGAACACCTCAGTATTTTTTGTTTGGAAGAGAGAGGGGTTTTTTTAACTTTTGGGGAGATTTTTGAATTTGGGATAGGGATGAAATGTTGCCTGTTGGGGAGCTGGAAACACTCCCCAAGGTCTCTATTTCACTGATCAGGCTGAGATAAGCAGCTTGGCTGCTCAGGAGCCCTGCCTGCCCTGCACGTGTAGGGAGCTCTGGGTGAGGATCTCAGCCTCGATCTTTCACTGTGTTGTCCGTTTGTCTCAGTGTTTGGCAGATTCTTTAGTGTTTGCATGGAAATTCGTGGTTTCCCCCTTAAAGTTGGTGTCTGGATGTGGAGTGCGGTGGGCGGAGGAGCCCTTCCCTCGCCGCCCGCTCACTGCAGGCTGTGCCGTGCTGCCTGCTCCATTCAGCTGAATCACTTGCGCAGTCACACCTTGTCTGAGCACGGCTCGGGGTGCCTGGAGCCAGGATCTGTCTGGCTGCTCGCCCTGCGCCGGGCTGGGCTCGATCCCGGCGCTCCGGGCTGCGCTGGCTGCGCTCGCAGCTGCGGCCGGTGGGGACCGGCACCCAGGGCAGCAGAAAAGCCACAGCCCTTCCTTCCCAGCCCTGGGCGAGGGCCGCGCTCGTGGGGCTGCTGCTGGTGCTGCTTTTTCCTCAAGTTTCTCCAGTGCTGCCGGCTGCTCCACGGTGTCCACAGGCGAGCGGGCTGAGGCGCCTCAGCCCTGTGGGTGGGAATTTCTGTGTGTTCACCCCCAAACCGCAGCGCTGTGTTCTGGGACTGGAGAAATCTCTCCAGCCTGGAGCAAACAGGAGCCAGAGGCTAACAGAACTCAGTGCTGTACCTGGGATCCGACTCCTCCCTCTTAGATAAGGCAGAGGGACGGAGCTGTGCTGGCTCCGGGAAGGGCTCTGCAGCGAGCACTGGAGTCCTCTGCCCAAGGGCACCTCTCTCACCCGCTGCTTGGGGCTGCTCCCTGCAGAGTCGAACACCTGTGTTTAACTGGTCTGCTCCATAACACGTCCCATAAAATACAGTTTCACATCCTCTTGGCATTATTTCAGACTTCTAATGGTATGTCAGCCCTGTGGTTGGGCACTTAGCTGCTGTCTGCTTGAGGTGTTCCAGCATGAGGAGACCAGATAAAGCACTTGTAAAAAATCCCTTTAGGAACTGGGATGATGGGATGCAGTGCCTGCTCTCAGGCTGGGAGTTCCCTTTGCAGTTCCTGTCTCTCCTGAAGTGACTTCCACGCTCAGCTGAAGGGAATGGGATTTCTTTTGTCTCTGGCTTTTCAGCACAAAACTTGACATCTGTAGATGTTAGAGGCACGATACCACCAGCAACACCAGCTCCTCATGGGAAGGAGCTGCTCTTGGATTTTCCAATGCCAGGCATGTTTGTCACTTT